TGAATCATTTGAACAAATTAGTGGTCTTAAAGTGAATAAAACAAAGACACATTTTATGTGGATGGGTGAGGATGAGAACAAACCTGATGGGCCTTTATTTGGAAATTTGGTTAAGGAAATACATATTTTAGGGGTTAGTTATTCATTAGATCGAAGATTAAAAGATGATTTGAATTATAAAGAAATTCTAAGTAAAATAAAAAAATTGCTTGTATGGTGGAAACAAAGAGATTTAACTATTATGGGTTAAATACATTTGCTAAAAACTTATGCGCTTTCAAAATTAAATTATATTTCATCTCTCGTTGTTGTCCCTCATTGGGTATATAAAGAAGTTGCAAAAATTTCATTTGAATTCATATGGAGGGGGAAAGATAGAATTAAACGGGCAATAATGTATCAGGATTATGACTTTGGAGGATTAAGAATGATTAATTTTGAAATGTCCGTTAAAATACAGCGCATAATGTGGATAAAACGTCTTTTATAATTGGAGAGAAAAGTTTGGGATGGAAATTGTTTTTTGATCATTGCTTACAGTTTGTGGGTGGTATATTTATTTTTTTATGTGATTATGATTTAAAAAAGATTAAACTCGTTTTAGATATTCCACCATACTATATGGAAATGTTGCAAGCATGGCAAGAGACAAGTAATTTAAGATATTTGGAGGGTTATATTAATCCAATTATTTTTAATAATCAGAATATATGTATAAATGGAAAAAGTATATTTGATAGATACTTGTTTGAAAGAGGGATTGTTCAACTGAATCATTTGGTTGAGAAAGGTCATGTTAAGTCTGTTAAATATTTTATGAACCTCGGTATGAAAGGTAATAATTTGCTTATGATTATTGATATTTATGATGCGATACCCAGGTTATGGAAGGATGATTCAGGGTTAATAGAATTCCTCGAGGTTGATTTGATAAGCTTTAATACTTATTTCCATATTTCTAGTAAAAAAATAAAGTTTGTGGATGTGGGTTCAAGAACAATCTATGATTATTTTTATCAAAGCACTGCAACAAACGTATGATTTGCAGGTAAGGGATGGGCAAAATGATTATGATTTTATAGATAAAGAATTAAAAGAAATATTTGTTAGACCAAGAATTACTATACTCATTAGAAAACAACGTGAATTTCAATTTAAATTATTGCATGGAGCCATATAGGGTGCGTTTAATCGACACTTTTTCACCCTAGAATCACGGTTTCTAAAGACGTTTAGTTTAAAACGCAATGCGTTCAAGCGATTTTTTCGTCGGTCGTAAAAATAAACGTGTTTGAAAACACAAACATGAAACGCTGAAAAAGATGCGTTTTGTATCATGATTCAAAAGAATCACGGTCGCTAAAATTCGATTGAACGGACGGAGTTCTCAATCATGATTGTATGACGAAGCCTCTTCCGGTTTGGGAAAACCGCGCGCCCGCTTTGCATGCAATTTGCGTTCACTATACCATCGTGGCCTGTTCCGTTATGTTATTCCTTGTTTTTCCTTCTATCATTTTCTCTTTCTGTCTTTCCTTATGTTATTCTTTGTTTCTTCCTTCTATTCTTATGTTATTCTTTGTTTTTTTTCCTTCTATCACCTTTTCTTATGTTATTCTTTGTTTTATCATTCTATCATTTGCTCTTTCTGTCTTTCCTTATGTTATTCTTTGTTTTTTTCCCTTCTATATCACCTTTTCTTATGTTATTCTTTGTTTTTATCATTCTATCATTTGCTCTTTCTGTCTTTCCTTATGTTATTCTTTCTTTTTTTCCTTCTATATCACCTTTTCTTATGTTATTCTTTGTTTTTATCATTCTATCATTTGCTCTTTCTGTCTTTCCTTATGTTATTCTTTGTTTCTTCCTTCTATACTTATGTTATTCTTTGTTTTTTCCTTCTATCACCTTTTCTTATGTAATTCTTTGTTTTAAGCATTCTATCAATTTCTCTTTCTGTCTTTCCTTATGTTATTCTTTGTTTCTTCCTTCTATCATCTTCTCTTATGTTATTCTTTGTTTTTATAATTCTATCACTTTCTCTTATGTTATTCTTTGTTTTAATCATTCTGTTACTTTCTCTTTCTATCTTTCCTTATGTTATTCTTTGATTCTTCCTTCTCTCACCTTCTCTTATGTTATTCTTTGTTTTAATCATTCTATTACTTTCTCTTTCTGTTCTTCCTTATGTCATTCTTTGTTCCTTCCTTTTTTCACATTCTCTTTCTGTCTTTCCTTATGTTATTCTTTGTTTCTTCCTTCTATTTTTATGTTATTCTTTTTTTTTCCTTCTATTACCTTCTCTTTTGTTATTCTTTGTTTCTTCCTTCTATTCTTATGTTATGCTTTGTTTTTTCCTTCTATCACCTTTTATGTAATTCTTTGTTTTAAGCATTCTATCACTCTCTCTTTCTGTCTTTCCTTATGTTATTCTTCGATTCTTCCTTCTTTCACCTTCTCTTATGTTATTCTTTGTTTTAATCATTCTATCGACTTTATCTTTCTGTCTTTCCTTATGTTATTCTTTGTTTCTTCCTTCTATCACCTTCTCATTCTTTGTCTTATTATTGCGATCTATGCTCAAAACAGCAGTCGACAGTCGGCCGTAAACAATTCCAGAAAGCGCGCGCCGAAGTTCCTGGGCCATACTGCGCAGTGGTTTGGCTCGCAATGAGCTAGAATCAGCGTTGATGAAAAATCGCTTGAACGCAAACCGCAGTGACCTTGCTTTTTGTAACGGCGTTTTGAATTGTGATTCATGTTTGTGATTCTAGCTTCGAAAATTCGATTGAACGCACCCATACACTAATGAGCATCTTCATAGATTTGGTTTTGTTGGTGATAATTTATGTTCGTTTTGTAAGCAGGAAATAGAAACATACAAACATTTATTTTTATCTTGTGGGAGCGTTCAAAGGATATGGCAGGCTTTAATACAACTTTTTGAGTTAGATGAAATTAAAGATTTAGAATGGCGAGATATATTTGTTGGGTTGGTAGGTAGTTCATATAGAATAAAAATGTGTAATACTATCATTTTCATGGTGAAGTATGTTACATTTATGTCAAGATCGGGGGGGGGGGCGAGTACTAACTTTAGAAAAGATGAAAAAAAGCATTTTAAGTATAGGGATGAGGAAAAGAAAATAGCAATTAAAATGGGAAAGCTAGGATCACATTTCTTAAAGTGGGAGCAGCTTAAGATTAATTAAGATTTGCTTTCTTCTCCACCGTGAGCCTGTTAAAAGCGTAACTCGATTTTGCGGCCTGGATAACTTATTTAGTATATTTTTCTTGAGTTGAGAATGTTGGCAGACATCCACTGAGTGAGTACTGTGTGTGTGTGTGGGGGGGGGGGGGGGTGGGTGGGTGAGTATGTGTGTGGGTGGGTGAGTATGTTTGTGTGATAGAGGGTGAGTATGTTTGTGTGATGGAGGGGGCAGGGAGGGGGCAGGATTGTTTCAGTAAAATTACCTCCAGATTTGTTTAAGTTTTTTTTTGTAATATATAAGTAAATAACATTTACACTTTACATATTATGTTTAGGTACTTATACGTTTACTTTGTTGCTAAGTTATATTATACTGCAAATAAGTTTGTGTTTAATTATGTTTATGTAAAAGCATCAATATTGAACACGTTTATTTTATTCAATTGTATGTCATGGTTTGTATTACACATCTGGAGAAATAAAACAAAATTGTTAAAAAAAAAAAAAAAAGTGTTGTGTGTTTTGCGTAAATTAGTGTGGGCGTGTGCTCGTGCTAGTATGTGATGGCTATCGCGGCGATCATCCCCCCTCTCCTCGGTACGGATTTACACCCCTGCTGCGTGGTCACTGACAGGTGGTTATCTCATCAAATCAGCTCTCAATTAACACAAGAAAAAAGGGATCATGGGGGACCAACGGGTACCGCTTAGGCATTGTTTGCTATATAGAGGGCGCACGGTAGCTACAAGTAGTGCAGTCCCGCTTTAAAACGCGATAGAGAGAAAATGAAAGACAATGGTTTAGCAGCATCTACGATATGGTGTTGTAGATCAGTGCTCTGAACGTTCTTTTAACTTTTTTAATTATCATTCATTGGAACCTCATTTTTCATCTTTCCCTCTTTTCCTGCGTCTAACTGTAGTGTTAATGAATCATTCCCGAATAAGAAAAAGACATTTATTTTCAAATTGATGCAAATCTTGAAGTTAGGTAATGACGCAACATGTAATTCTTAAATTTGTTTATAATTAAGTATGTTATTGGCCCTCCACATTCTATTTTTATTTCCGCTTCCGCTACCAATACCATTACGTCAACGACTACTCTTACTACTACTAATTTACTATTGCTACTACTAGCACCACTAATATACTACACTGCTGCTGCTACTACTACTACTACTACTACTACTACTACTACTACTACTACTACTATTATTATTACTAACTGTCATACTGCTACTCCTATCGAATTTTTAAAGGTATGATAACATTAAAAACAATACAGATAACGGTACAGCAATGTGAATAAGAACTGTTTAATCAGAATAGTTAACTGAAGATAAAATGATGATAATACGACAACTTGACTATGAACTTTTATTCCACCAAGCTAAATTTTTGCACCTTGCACAAATGCAATTCCCAACACGAAATATTTCACTAAATTTGTTTTGTTATTTTCGCTCAAAATTAATTCAGCCATGCTCACTTTAAATCACTTCAATTATATCTTATTTAACATTGAATACAATGCAGTTGCATGGGTTGTTCTTTTATTTTGTTAACTCGGCAGAGGCCACGGTCATGTTCAAGCATTTACGCTTACGACATGTGGTCTCCTGCTTTTCCCTTTTGTATGAAACTTTTATTTTAACTAGAAACAAATTTTGTCAAACTTACATGTTATTCATCATATTTATTTGTATCTTTCTTTGTATTGATATGAAAAAGTGGAAATAAAACCAAAAAAAACCAAAAAAAACTGTTTCTGTGGTTGTTCTTTGCAGACTGGTCATACCATACCCAAGAAACCTGGCCTCTCATTTCGGGTAGCCAATGCAATGGTAACTCCCAGTCGCCCATCAATATCAACTCCAGCATCGCCACCACCACTGATCTCGGTTCCTTCGTGCTCGATGGCTATACCGACGAAAACACTAACATGGATTTGGTAAACAACGGGAACAAAAGTAAGGAAAATAAAATCAAATACTATATTCTGATGAAAAAACATGACTAAGTAATTATAAAGCAACATTTTATGACTCTATTTTGATAGATAAAATGACTTTATAATGATAAACAGCATGACTATAGCATGACTACATTATGATGAATGAAATGACTACAAGCTACGTGTAAAAGCTATGAAAATATAACCATTGTTTCATCTCTTATCTTCTCCTCCCAATGTAGTTGTCATCCAATTTCATGATGACGTTGAGGACTTATACAAGCTTTCTGGGGGCGGTCTCCCTACTACCTACACAGCTACCCATATTCACTTCCACTGGGGGTCTATGAACTCTGGAGGCTCGGAACATCAGATTGACAGCACTCCCTACCCTGCTGAGGTGAGTCATAAACTGTGCAGGGCGTCGTCAGAGGGAAGGGGTGACCCCTTGTTTTTAATTTCCTTTCGATAAATGTTATAGTTTCAGGATATTTTCCTCCTTTAAGTGAACTGAACAAAGAAAAACAATAAATGATGTTATTATGTAGATTACATCGTTCACATGTGTATTGTGACATTCCGTATGACCATTCTGTACGACCATTGGTGAGATAATTCTTGTGAAGGCAAAATGAAAATAGGAAAATACGATATGAGCATTTATCGAAATTCAAACCCCCCCCCCCCCCTTGGTATTTTTATGTGTGTAAACCCCCCTAAAAAAACCTAAAACCTCCCCCCTTTAGTTTTTTTTTCTTTTTCTTTCTTAATTAATTTAAAAAAAAAATAAAAAAAAAAAAATTATACCACGGCTATCCTAAAAAAGGTGACCTTACCCCCCCCCCCACGATGAAAAATGTCAAATTTTGAAATTTCGAGACCAAAAAAAAAAGTGTCCCCCTTACCCCCCCCCCCCCCCCCCCCCCCCCCCCCCCCCCCCCCCCCCCCCCACTGAGCGACTTTTCGGCCGGCGCGATTTTCAAATTTTCGGGAGCTAAATATTTTAAACCCCCCCCCGACCCCTTGAAAAAATCCTGCGTACACCCCTGGTGTGAACCACTAGACCCTGCAGTGACTGGTCGAAGGATGTCGGGAGTTCCATAACGTAAATCGACCTCAATGGTGTCAAGGTGTAACTACATTAAATGATGATAATCACGAAAAGAACAACAAAATGAAGGAAAAGAAGATAAAGCTACGCCCCGTTTGTTTTGTGAACGTTCGTGATATTCGTTTGGTTGTTTGGTTGTATTATGTCTCTGTACTGTCCTTCTTTTTTTCTTATTTATCAGGTGGGCTGTATAACGTACAGACCACCTTATAATTTCGTAAGAATTGCCTTTATTTATTTATTTATTTATTATTCTTTATTTTTCTTATTTTGAACCACTTTTTTGTAAGCATGATTACTTGAAAATGGCTCAATAAAATGCCTTCAAATTTGGCACACATATGTATAGGCATATGTACAAAGCACAATAATGTTTTTAACATTGACCTTCACTGATGACATCATCTAGGCGCCATTTTGTAAAATTTTACGAAAATCAACACATGATCATATCTTCATAACCAAAAGCTATTTCTCATTCATATTTATCATGATCAAGGTCAATATCCGTCCGGTCACTTTCAGGTCAAATAATGCAAAATTTTAAAATGCTCAAAATCGTCTCAAAATCATTTTGCATATACGTTTTAGGCCATTCTAAGCATTTTATAAAAAATCGCGCACACGCGCATGCGTGCGCGTTTTCGCGCGTAAAACTATTGCACAACATAGAATCGCCATTTTTTTTCTTCCATAATATTCCACATATTTTTACAAACAAATTGATACCATGTTTATCTCTTTATGACTATTAATGACGGAATGATCGACCGTTAAACATAAATTTCCGTGCGTGCGAACTCTTGTAATACATAGCATATATTATGGGCAAAAACATGCCTAATCAAAATCCATAGTAGCTCTTTAGAATGCAAGGTGACCCCAATTTTTTTTCATATTTTGATAGAGTATGAATCGGAGATATGATTTCATGTCTCATTTGACCCTCAATTAACTCATGACGTCATCATAATGGCCTCCGAACTCAAAATTTCAATTTGCATATTATGACGTCAGCATATTTTTGGAAAATCGATTTTCTTCACAATTTTGATATGTATAGCTGAGACGATTGTCTTCAAATGCAATACCCACAATTTTACATTTTGATAAAGGCATCATGGCGTATATTTGCGATTAAAGGAGGCATGTCATTTTTTCACATTTTGCGTGTATTCTCTATGGGACATGATTTTTTCTCAAAAAATGGATTCTACATTCCCGTCTTTCGCGAGCAATATCTCCGTCGTTTTAGCTTCGTTTATGCTGAACTTCAAGTATGTTGTAGCTGAGACAATTAGCTATCTCAAATAAGCCATTCATTTTGTCTCAACTTTTAGTTGGACTAGCCCACCTATACTTGTTCCAAACAAGTATTACAAATCTAGTTTATTATTATTTTCTATTTTAATTCACTGTATTGCTGGTGTGCTTGGCCACATTAATTTTGTGGATTAGAATAAATTATCAATCATAATTATGAAAGCATTATTCATTTATTCAGTTGCACGTGGCTCACTACGACAAGTCCAAATACGCCGATCTCACGGCAGCTGTGACCAGCATGCAGTGGGATGCAGCCACCATACTGGGTGCATTTATTGAGGTAAGAGCGCCCCTATTCTTTCTGTTCTTCTTCTTTTACTGTAAATCTTCAATGGGCCATGCAGCTTACCACCAACATCTGCGTGTCGAACATTAGTTTACACCGGAATCCCTGTTTACACCCTACTCTTTGTGAGAATTGCTATATAGGTTGTGATTTTCTTACATTCTCTTACACATGGGACCTCGAGTTAACTGGGACTCGAACCCACACGCATGACGGAAGTCATCAAAGTCAGACGACGATTCAATAAGCCAGTTCACGGTTGCAATCTGAGCATGAGCAGATAAAGGTCATTGCAGAACAAATTGTGAAATACACTGAAACAAAATACTGGATACGTGCTCATGAAAGTTATGTAATCATTATTCATTTATGCACTCCATGATACACAGGTTGAAGTATTCTATGAAAAGGGGGAAAAGGGCTATTTATGTAGCACCTCCATCGCTGTAGGAGTGATTATTTCAAAATCTACAAAGTGGGACCTCTTCATGTTTGAAGATCTGTGGATATTCAGGGTCATTGCAGTAATGTGCTAACCGTGAACTGGTCTATTGCGCCAGACTGCCTTCTCTAATATCGCTTTTGAATATATCGCCATAAGGGCGGCGTATAAGGACCGGTAAATACGCTGAAATATAGCGCCAAGTTTGCAAACGATGGGTCATTACGATTTCGTTATTTTTCCTGCGCTAATATAGACCTTTGTGCCAATTAAAACGAGTATTCCGAGGCATTGTTTACTTTTCAAACCCTTTTTCTGGTACCCCATTCTCATATGGCGCGTCAAAAGCCGCGCCAGTCGCTGACGCAGCCTTGCGTCAGTAGAATGACGCCTCATGTACATTGGGTATTACACGATGACTGTGCTGCATCTCCAATATGTCTACGCCCAGATCTTGTGCATGATCAAGAGAAGTTTACCAGTGTAAAGTCGAGTATCATATTCATTCATTATAGTTGGTCTTCTAGGTATGCTTGTCTGTAATATTGTTAAGTTGTCCGTAAGAGCGGTGTAAGAGGATTAAAATTCGGACATTTTTAGTAATTGTTGTCTTCTGTACATTTTTATTATGGCAAAGATTTTACTCTCTCTCTCTCTCTCTCTCTCTTTCTCTCCCTATTCCTCTCTCTCTCTTTTCTCTCTCGCTCTCTCTCTCTCCCCTCTCTCTCTCTCCCTCTCTCCCTATCTCTCTCTTCCCCTCTACCTCTCCCCTCTCTCTCTATCTCTTTCTCTCTCCCTACCTACCCCTCTCTCTTTCTCTCTCTCTCCCGCTTTCCCCCATCTATAGGTTGGCGAACATAACACTGCTTTCGATCCCTTCCTGAGTCACATCAGCCAGATCGCCAATTACTCCTCTGGCGTCACCTCCCTGGGCCAGGGCAACCTCCCATCGTTCCCAATCCGCAGCGTCTTGCCATCTGACCTGTCGAAGTTCTACCGTTACAATGGTTCCAAGGCGGTGCCCGATTGCAACGAGGCCATCATCTGGACCATCTTTACAGACACGATCTCTATCTCCCAGGCTCAGGTGAGTGAGAGAATGGGGTCTCGAGGGGGGGGGGGGGGTTGATTTTTGTTGAGTAAAAAAAATAATGGTCATTATCCCCCGTTGACCAAAAAAATATATATATAAAAATAGTGCCCCCACCCCGCTTATGCACCGGCTGGCTAATTCGCCGCTAAATATTTTCTCACGTATTGGGCACAACAAATCCTCCTCCTCCGGGGGGGGGGCAGAATACCTTGGCAGACCCGAGGCACGATCTAGGCCCACAGCAAGTTCCATCGTTTTGACGTTTTTGCTCTTTTTAATTATTATTCTCCTGAATGTAGAAGAAGTGAATATAGCAGTAGCAGTAGCAGTAGCAGTAGTAGTGGTAGTAGTAGAAGCAGTAGTAGTAGTAGTAGTAGTGGTAGTAGTAGTAGTAGTAGTAGTAGTAGCAGCAGTAGCGGCAGCGGTAGTAGTAGTAGTAGTAGTAGTAGTAGTAGTAGTAATAGTAATATCAGTAGTAGAGGTAATAGTAGTAGTAGCAGTAGTAGTAGTAGTAATAGTTGAAGTTTAGTCAGTGGTGGATCCAGGGTTAGAGCCAGGGGGCACGGGCCCCCACCCCTGGCAAAAAAAGTAAAAAACATAGATGGTATCAACAATTTTACCTTTAAAAAAAAGAAGAGGTGCCCCACCCCTGGCAGCAACAACAAAAGTTTTTTTTTAATTGTAACCACAATTTAACCTTTTTTGTGCTCAAGGTGGGGTAGGGTGGGGGGGGGGTTGTTGAGTAAAAAAGAATAGTGCTCACTTCCCCCCCCCCCCCGGCTGCAGCAGCAGCAGTAGTATTAGTAGTAATAGTAGTAGTAGTGGTAGTAGTAGTAGTAGTAGTAGTAGTAGTAGTAGTAGTAGTAGTAGTAGTAGCAGCAGTAGGAGTAGTAGTAGTAGTAGTAGTAGTAGTAGTAGTAGTAGTAGTGGTAGTAGTAGTAGTAGTAGTAGAAGAGTATAGTATTAGTACTCGTCGTATTAATAGTGGTAGTTTAGTAGTAGAAGGAGAAGTAGTAGTAGTGGAAGAAAAAGAAGCAGTAATAGTTTGGTAGAAGTAGTAGTAAAAACTTGAAATCAAGAGCAGTGTAACATTAACTGGCTGAATAAAGAAAGAAAGTTTGTCATTCCGATGCAAGCTACAACTTCCGATTTTCTTATCATGTCTAAGTATTTGATTCGGAATGACTACTTCTAGAAAGTTCAATAACAATTAATTCGTTTGCTTTTTTCTTTTAACAGCTTGACATATTCCGCACCGTGTACGGCGAGCATGCTGACGCACAAGGCAATTACGAAGTCGTCGACAACTACCGCTACCTTCAACCTCTGAATGGCCGCACAGTCTATTACAGCAGACCTACTCCCGAGTCTACTGATGGCGGTGCAGTCACCATCTCACCGATGAGGGCACTGTTTATCGTGGCACTTACAATTTGTATGTTGTTCAATCGCTTTTAGGTTTAATCAGACACTGACGTGATTTTTTTTTCTTCTTCTTACTGGGGAATTAAGTTATTACGGATTCAACAAATATGAATAATTAAACACAATATTCCTGTCAAATCTAACAGCTTTCACTGATGGGGGGGGGGGGGGGGTGGTGGTGCTTGACCTTAAAAGAAACTCATTTCAATTTGATTTGTAATGATTGGTTGGTACATGTTTAATGAACTTTTTTTTTAATCTATAATGAATAGGACTTCAGTTTCTGAATGTTAATGGAAGTAAATCTGATCGCTTTGAGAAAATAAATGAAAATATGAGTAATGTATTTAACAGTGAAAACAATATCCCTTTTTCTGTTCGACAACTGTCAACAACAAAAAAATGAGTTTATTTGATTGATCTCCCTAGCTGTAAATTTGATTGTGAATCATGTGAATCCTTGTATCGATGTTACTGAGGTCTTAGCGGTAACTTTTAAAAATTTCTTACAGTACTGTTGATTGTTATAAATGTCTTTCTGTGTATGAAAAATAATAGACATAATTGTGTACTATGTATTATCGTAACAAAAGAAGAATATACTTATATAGTGTTTGTGCCAAGCAGATAAATTAGCCGTCTTTCACTTATTATAATTATTACATGGGAAACGGTCAAACGATTTCAAAAATATAGTACTTAATTTTATAGAAAGGTATTCATGTATGTGAAACAGTACTGTTAGTTTATACTATGTGTCGCGAAAAATGTCCTTATTTACATTTGCTTTGTAATACTCTCATTAAGAGCATTTTTTTTGTCCCGAAAATTAGGCCGATCGATATTTTCGTTCCGTTGGGGGGGGGGAATTTTAAATTTCAAATAAATTGAGGGGGTTGTCCTAAAAATTGTGGGGGGGGGGGGGACACCAACAAAAAAGGGTACCTTCGAAGGGCAAACTCAAAGCGAAAATATACAAGTTTTTAGATATTGGTATATACCCCTATATTATGATTACATTATAAGGGATGATTTCAATATTTGTTTCTCGTCATCATATAATATATAGCTTAAGCATCATACTTTGTAGTTGGGTGTGATGGTCTGAAAATTCATTTTTGATTGAGCAAAGCAAGCGAGAAAAAAATAAGATTTTTTTGGGGGAAATTTCTCTTAGTCGCTTGAAATCCCATCAGAATGCGAAAGTCATTGGACATTGCTCAGCATTTTGAGCGTCTGTAAAATGACGCCGGGTTGGAATGGGAGTGGACATGCTTAAATCTGATGACTAGGATAATAATATTTCTGTAAATTGGTTAGAGACGTCGTAGATGTTTAGCGCTGTATAAAATGTTGTTGTTATTAATGCCTAATGATGTTGGCCCTGCTTGCTAAGTAATATTTGCTTAAGAGATTTGGTCACATAATAATGAGTATTCAACAAAATTATTTCAGTTAATTGGCAACCATAATCTAGTGAGGTTCGAAGAATATGGGGTTAGGACGATGCATAGTCGATGTATGTCATTTATTATGTTATATCACATAGAAAGCTTTATCGTTTCTGAAGGACTATAATAATCATTTCTGTCTTGTTGTATAATATTCTTAATAAAAGTGTTCTTCATTACAAAATATGGAAGTAATATATAGGTTCTTTACAACGTGAGATTTTGCTGTTTGTGCCATAACATTATTTAGGGTTATTGATTGTGTAGGGTTGTCCTAAAATATTGTGTAAAATTATAAAATCCTTTATATGATTTTTTTTTCTTCATTCAGTAAGTTCCTTGTCAAGTTTTGGTCTTGGAAGCTGTAGAAATTTATTGACTTTCATCGAGATTCGGTTGCCAGTCTCAGTCGATCCCTTATTACTCGAATAAGTGTGCATGATGCAACCCTAAATGAGAGAAAAATTAGGAGAGTGGGAAATAACATGGATGAGAGTTTTCACGACAGCGACAATACTACTACCAAAATACCCCTCTTTAAAGAGAGAGAGAGAGAGAGGGGGGTGAGATATATATTAAAGAGCTGGGACACACATACACGAAGGCATGTACACTGTTGCCCATCTATAGAGAGAGTTAGAATATTTTTCTTATCTCTTTTCATGAGGGCATTCTGATAATTATGGTTTACTATTGTAGATAAAGTTTTTATCTTTTCAGAACTTTGTAGATCAATTTAAAGAGTCATTGAGAATGATCAGTAAAGTTCTGAGAAAATAATAAAATTTATCTATTAACAATGTAAACCATATTGTCGCAATCACTTCGTGAAAAGATGTTTAAGCAACAATTATTATTCCAACGTTATGAGCAACAGTGTATTATAAACAGAAAGACTGTGAACGGAAAGTAGTTAGAAACTGTTAATTAGAGAGACCACGCGAGAGAAGGGCATGATGAGGTTCAGAGTGAGAAGAAAGAAGAAAGAAAGGGAAGAGAGAGAGAGAGAGAGAAAGAGAGAGAGAGAATAATATACAGGAGAAACAAATATTAGAAGAATGCATTACAATAGATAAGGGGAGGGGAGGGCTCGTGTGCTGAACACAAGCTGCCCCTTCATAGTATCGGTTGCATGAATACAGAATTTAGAAGAAGAATTTAGTATAAAATCCCAGGGCACCGAATCTCCAGAGGAACGTTTCCTTTTGGCGACCGGGGGAAAATGCAATGAATTATTGATAATTTATTGTACATTCTTTGTTTTTGGATTTGTGGGGGCGGCCGCGTACCCTAGCCCCCGCTGAGTACAGTCATGATTCAGTGGCTAAACAACGGTCTCGTTAAGGTGAGGCCCCAGGATAAAAACCGTGTTGATCAGCCTCACAAAAGGGCACTAATATACATATTAGTGCCCTTTTGTGAGGCATTAATCCTCATTACTTCCAGTTATGACTTAAGGGCGTAGGTCCCCTAGTTGATTAGCATAGTAGAATACACATGCTTTAGCTGTCACGCAAAACAAACACTCGCAAATTATAATTCAATAAAATCTGAGAACGTTTATTATCATTCAGATCTATTAGGAATAAATCATTGTAAAAATCATTCCATAAATTGGGGTTAAACTAATTAATCCACCTTTATGATTATTAGTGTACATATAAATTTACCGCCAGTGTAATTTCACCCAGGAATTGTACTTATTTTTTTTCACATCAATATACAATTATTATTGATATATTTTGGAATAAATGGGTGTTAAAAGTGTCACATATTGGCTTTAAAAAAGACCTAAAATCCACAAGCTTCAAGGGGCTCTGCCCCCTGCACCCCCGCTGTGGCTTTCGGGGCTTCGCCCCTGGACCGCGCCCATTGTCTGCTTGGTCGCTACACTCCCTCGCAGCACAGTCAAACATACAGGTTGGCATTTCAACTACAAATTCTTTTCATTTTGGCACTCCTAATAAATTAATAAATTTTTTCATCAACCTTCAACAATGTTACCGAGTCACTTTAACATTGTCTTGGTATGAAATATACAGAAAGGGTCAAAATCAGAGTCTAGGTATATGACCAGAAAGACTCAGCACATGTATCTATTTATGAAATTCCGAGATTAAGTACTCTTTTATGAGTATAAAAACCTTTTACCGCTTTTCCAGAATGAATCATAATATATGAGGGAAGTTTAAGTTACAAAGACTTGAGCGAAAATGATACAAGTACCGGTACGTATGGGTCTTCTAAGCATGAACACCGCCCCCTATGTTGGATACATCGTAAATGGGCTTGAAATCTAACAACATTTTAGATGGAAAAGTCTCAATTTGTCTAGTTTTCTTAAATAAATGCAGCCTGAAATCGTTAGTGCATAATTGCATTGATATTGATCTAAGGTCCTATAATATTAAGTTCAAAGGTCGATACCGATCCTTTCATCCCTAAATTTGATTTGTTGATACATGTGTAACATATTTTTTTTCTTTTTTATGAACAGGAAATGTAAATATGTAAACGATTATGATTATGATACACCCACAAATGTAAATAAAATAAATGATTAACACTGATAAAAGCTGTGTCCCGCTATTTGTTTTATTTATGAACTTGTGTTAAAAAAATAGTATTAGTCATAAGGTAAACTCTGCATACAGGTAAGTCGAATCTATTGGGATTGCAAAACAAGTAGTTTGAGTTACTAGAAAGCAAAATTGACTTAGGAAGTGAAAATAACACATGCTTTACAGAGTGTGGTCAAAACAAAACAAAATGATTTTGAATTAGGGAAAATTCTACTTGTGCAACTTTCAGTAATGCAGAGTTAACTGTATCTCTATTTAAAACTAACAACTTTTAGATGTTTTTGTGAACATAGCAAAATGGCTGAAAACACACATTGTTTTTTAGTGGATTAATTGGCACATGTGTTGGGTACAGGGACATATGTGGCACTTACATTTGCGAGAGTGTTATTTTACCAACGGTCCAAAATAGTGATGCCATTGCAAAAATCAAAGTCACATAAATGAGGATACTTTATCTGCTCAAAGTCCACTAAAGAATATAAAAATACTTTGGAAATCTTTGTACATATAACATTTCAATGAGAATAAACAGCATTGATGCTCACTTTTACAACTTGATATAATATGTTTATCTGAAGTGTGGAGCGTACCAGACACATCCATCTTGGGCATACAAGGCTATACTTTAGAGGTGAAATGCCGCAATCATACTTTAAGAGGTGGAGGTGTTGGTGCATACATTCACTCTTCCCTTAAATACAGGCTTTTGGGAAATTTTGAAGTAGCACATGCTGAATCACTTTGGTTGGAAGTAGTAATTAATGAAAAGAAGATCATTATTGGTGTCATCTATCGCAAGCCAAATACAGATATTCATGAGTTTCAGGATAGTCTGTTAAGTATTGTACATGATCTGAAATTAGACAAAAGTCAATGTGTGCTAACTGGAGACTTCAATATCAATCTTCTAGGCGATGAAATGGCAGCTGATAACTTTCTCACCTCCATGCAATGTATCGGCATGCATCAATTGATTAATTTTCCTACTAGAGTAACGCAACATGGCTTCTCTTTGATTGATCATATATATACCAATATGAATGTTCCCAGTATTCATGCAGGAATAATTGAATCTGACGTTACAGACCACTTTCCGATCTTTACCATTTTTAAGTCTAATATACAATTTAAGAAAAAGTCTTG